AATTTATAAAGAAAAGGCCAATATTGAGGAGCCATATCTAATCAGAAACTTTTGTATCATCCCATGACATATTGCATAAGGGAAGACAGCAAATGCAACTTCAGAGGATCCCTAATTAGACTAACAGCTTATTTCTCATCAGAAACCCTATAGGTGAGGAGAGAATGGAGAGACACAGTCCAAGTCCTAAAAGAAAGAACACTGTACCCAGAAAAGCTCTCTCATTTCCACATGAAGATGAAATAAATACCTTCCAAAACAATCAGAAATTGAAAGAATTTTTCACCACTTGTCCAACCCTACAAATGATTCTTTTTTAAAAATTACTTATTTGAAAGAGTTACAGAGAGAGGTAGAGAAGGAGAGAGAGAGGTCTTCCATCTGCTGGTTCACTCCCAAAATGGCCACAAGCCAGGAGCTTCTTCCAGGTTTTAGAAAAATAAATAAATCCTTTTAAAAATTAAAAGAAAGAATAAGAAATGAAGGAGGGTGGGAGCATGGGGAAGGAGGGAAGTTATGTGGGAAGTATCACTGCTCCTAAATCTGTATATATGAAATACATGGGGGCTGGCGCTGTGGTGTAGTGGGTAATGCCGCCACCTGCAGTGCCAACATCCCATATGGGCACCGGTTCAAGTCCCAGCTGCTCCACTTCCGATTTATTTGAAAGGCAGAGTTACAGAAAGGCAGAATCAGAGTCAGAAACAGAGACAGAGAGAGAGGTCTTTCATCCACTGCTTCACTCCCCAGATTATATAGAGAGAAATAGGGCTATTAATATACCTGTTCTCACCTGAGAAAGTAGCACACAGAACTTTGAAGGGTTGGCCCAAGGTAGAGATATATTTACAACGGATGTAGAGGAAATGAAAAGTTTAGGGGCCAGCGCTGTGGCACAGCAGGTTAACACCCTGGCCTGCAGTGCCAGCATCCCATATGGGCACTGGTTCTAGTCCCAGCTGCTCCTCTTCAGATCCAGCTCTCTGCTATGGCCTGGGAAAGCAGTACAAGATGGCCCAAGTGCTTGGACTCCTGCACTCACGTGGGAGACCTGGAAGAAGCTCCTGGCTCCTGGCTTCGAATCAGCGCACCTCAGGCCGTTGAGGCCATTTGGGGAGTGAAACAGCGGATGGAAGATTCTCTCTCTCTCTCTCTCTCTCTCTCTCTCTCTGTGTGTGTGTGTGTGTGTGTGTGTAAAACTCTGACTTTCAAATAAATAAATAAATCATTAAAAAAAAGAAAAGTTTAAAATATGGCATAAGCTGTCAGTGACAGCCCCTGGGTGTAGTGACACCAAAAACCAGTTGTCCTGTTCAAAACGATGACCAGATGTTTATTGGGGTGTTTATTTGATGAATTATGTAAGTAATAAGGTGAAGAGAGCACTGGGCTATGAGATGAAAGATCTTAGTTCTATTAGTAGTTCAAGCCGTGCTTTCTGGCAGATCTTTTTCCTTTCCCTCTTCTTCTTGGAAGTCAAATGTGAGATAGTTTCAAAGATCCTGACTGGTTATATATTTTTTATTCTCATAGTTGATCAGTCCTATTGCCTTGATGTCTACTGTGAATATGACATAAGCTAAAACTTTCATACTTCCCCTTACCTCTGTGACTGGTAGTGTCGATAAAAACGTCCAAGAACTCCAAGGTCCATTCAGAACCCAAGTAGTTGGAACAATGCATTTAACAGAGACAGAAAGAAACCACCAATGTCACACAAAGTCCATTAGAGTAAGTTAAAGAGAAGGAACTATAAAAGGAGACAGTGTTTATCTTTTAACATAGAAATACTGCTTTTATCGGAGTGGAGTGACATGGGAGAAGAATCCTTGACTTATGCCAGGAAGAATTCCTTAAAGACTTTTAAATTTAAAATGCTTGTAGAAACGTTTAATCATTTGAATTGAGTTAGGTGCCACTTGCCTGTCTTCAGATAAAGAATGGACTGTATAAAAAAAGGACCCTGGAACCTATTACTTCTATCTCACTGTAGTTTTTTTTTTTTTTTTAAGATTTATTTATGGGGCCAGCACTGTGGCTAGTAGGTAAAGCCACCACCTATAGTGCCAACATCTCATATGGGCACTGGTTTGAGTCCCGCTGCTCCTCTTCTGATCCAGCTCTCTGCTATGGGCTGGGAAAGCAGTGGAAGATGACACATGTCCTTGGGCCCTTGGACCTGTGTGGGAGACCTGGAAAAAGTTCTTAGCTCCTCGCCTCAGATCAGCTCAGCTCCAGTTGTTGCGGCCATCTGGGGAGTGAACCAGCGGATGAAAGACCTCTCTCTCTCTCTCTCTCTCTCTCTCTCTCTGTAACTCTGCCTTTCACATAAAATAACTAAATCTTTTTCTAAAAGATTTTTTAATGTGAAAGCAGAGTTATGGGCCAGCCTTAGGGTGCTGCAGGTTAAGCTATGCTGCTGGCATCCCATATGGGTTTTGGTTAGTCACAGCTGCTCCACTTCTAATTCAGTTTTCTTTTTTTAAGATTTATTTATTTATTTGAAAGTCAGAGTTACATAGAGAGGGAAGGAGAGGCAGAGAGAGAGAAAAAGAGAAGTCTTTCATCTACTGGTTCACTCTCCAAATGGCCACAATGGGCTACGCCGATCCGAAGCCAGGAGCCAGGAGCTTCTTCCAGTTAACCCATGTGGGTGCAGGGGCCCAGCTTGGGCCATCTTCTACTGCTTTCCCAGGCCATAGCTGAGAGCTGGATTGAAATGGAGCAGCCAGGACTTGAACCAGTGCCCATATGGGATAACAACAATGCAGGTAGCAGCTTTACCTGCTACACCACTGCACCAGCCCCCTGATCCAGCTTTCTGCTAACCTACCAGGGAAAGCAGCAGAAGATGGACCAACTGCTTGGGCCCCTGCACCCACATGGGAGACCAGATGGAGCTCCTGGCTCCTGGCTCCTGGCTTCAGCCTGGCCCAGCCCTGGCTGCAGCCATTTTCTTCTCTCTCTCTCGCTCTTTCTCTCTCTCTCTCTCTCTAAGTTGATCTGAAATTAGAATAGTAATTATTACAGACTGGGAAGGGTAGGGAGGAGTGGAATAGAGGGGAGTTGCCTAATGGGCACAAAAGCACAGTCGAGGACCAGTATTTGTCTTTCAATGTCTGGCTAATTTCACTTAGAATAATGATATGCTGTTCCATGTATTTTATAGCAAATGTCAAGATTTCATTCTTTTTATGTCTGAGTAATATTCCACTGTGTATGTATGCCTTATTGTCTTTATCAGCATAGTGGGATCACTATTAATCACAATAATGAACTAAAGGAGATAGGAGCTGGTAGGCACCAAACATGGAGGAAGGGTGGGATGCTGATTGCCTAATTTGATCAATTTATACTACATGCAAATGTTGAAATATGCACCATGCCCCATAAAGGTGTACATATATTGCATGTTAATCAAAAATTATAAAGAAGAAAATGATCTGTATTATAAAATGCTGCTAGTAAATGTTTTAACAATACATACTTTACTTCAAATATTTTGCTGTATTTTTAAAATAAACATTAATCTCTGAAGTCTGAAAATAAATCCTGGATGTGCCTGGCATCCATAATTTGGTAATCCTTTCTCTACTTGTTCTTTTTTAAAGCTAATTTTTAAAAAATTATTTATTTGAAAGGCAGAATGATGGGGGGAGGAGAGAGAGAGAGAGATCTCCCATCTGCTGGTTCACTCCCAGATGCCTGCAACAGTCAGCCTAAAACCAGGAACCACGAACTATCCCGTTCTCGCCTGTGGATGGTAGAGGACAAGTACGAACTGGCTCTGCCTGATAGGGGCAGATATGTGATGCTGGAGACACAGGCAGCTTAATCCACTTTGCCACAATGCTGGCCCTTTAATGCTAATTTTGAAAATTAATGGTTACTGTAGAAATATAGTGAAATATGAAAAATCAATACGAAAGTAATATTCATCCCTAATTGTAACATACAACACAACACTCAGCATTTTTGATATGTTTCTTTTCCCTTTTATCTTTCTTCCTTTTCACTCATGAAGAAGGATTTAAAAGAGCCATTTGGCTCTGCAGTGCCTACCTTAGATTGCACAGGTCCCTGTCTTCCAAAATAAGAGTGTGCATAATATAAAACCAGTATTGTAGGGATCCACCTTGACATGATCACAGCTATCTTAGTCATAAGCGTCACCTTGTCCTTTAGACAACCCGGAATGACAGTTACCAGAAATCATACCAAATGAACAAAGTTGTTAAATTAATCTACCCCTCTTAACTGATGACTGGAACACCTCTTATGAATGTTACTATTTCGTGGGAAAGTCCTGGTGCATTCCACTTAGCCACAGCCCATCTTATTCTATAAAACCATTTTTCTCCTGACAAGTGGTTCCAGCCATCCCCCAAGACCATGCCTCAGCCAAGATTTCTTTGCCTCTTTCTTTGATCTCATGGCCCCTTTCTACCCTCTGTGGCCAATTCTCATGTATCAGACTTTCCCAAAGAAGTATATAGGCCTGGGCGTTATCATGAGAGGAAAAGGCGTTTTTCCTGGACAAAAGCTAAAAAGGAGCTGGTGTCGTGTGAAGAGAGGGAACAGCAGGCTTCATTATGGTGGTTCACGTACACGGTACTGAATGGAAACAAAATAGAACCGATGGTGACTTTCTGATCATTGGAGAAAAGGGCAGTGGGTAGTGTTGCTGCGTCAACAAGAACTGAGAAGGTAATCAGGACGGAAGTAGCTGTCATCAGGAAATGGCGTCAAAGGGAGGGAGGACGCAGATGAGGGGCGGATCTGTTAGAGTCGCTGCGCATTCATGACTTCAGTGCGGGCTTTAGAAAAGACGTGCCAGCAAGCACTAGCACATTAAGCATGACATCGAGTTCCAAAACAAGACTAGGCGGAGACCTATGTATGTCGGCTGGGGTTGCCAATGGTTACGTCTGTGCATTATCAGGGCGTGGCCAATGGGGTTAAGTTTTTTTGCGCATGGTTTCTTTCAGCGGTCTCTGGCGCTTCTTAATTGGACTATTACACAATCCAAGAACTGTAACGCGAGTTTCGCAAGTACTGCTGGGAAATCAAGTAACGCTTAACGGTTTCTGTAACGGTTGGAGCAGTCAGCGGGGAACAACGGTCAGGCATCAAGATTAAGCAATTTTCTAAAGTAAGTAAATCCGGTACCTGACTCAGTCAGTGTGCCGCTACCCCCTATAGGTTAATGAAGGGAAGAGATGGGGCTAGCTACCTTCTCTGCCAAGTATTTTGTATTTCTGTGATGTTTTATTAGCTTGTCCATCCTAGTGGAGACCAAAGGCGCCATTATGTTCTAGGTCTGCCAGTCCTAAAAGCTTTATATACTATTTTCGTCCTCTGCTCCTCCTCCCTTTTAGCATAAGGCATGATTCCTGCCTCCATTTCTCCATCACATCTATACAATTTTGGGGGGGGGGAAGACTGGGGGGAAAGGGCTGTGATGAAAGTTTGATGCTCTAGCCTAAGTCTCCACTACTTTGCCTTTTGGGGCCAGACTGCCAAACTGCCTAATTTACTGGCTGGCAGCATCCAGGTGTTTTTAGTGACCATGGCAGAGAACAACAATCTCCAGAAAAAGAAATAGAAATAGTCTATCTTCACTCGCCCTTCTGACAATCTCAGTGGGACATCCAAAATGAAACAGGAATGGGTAGTTGTTCTCAGCCATAAGAGTTCATTGTCTGATGTCATGAACAAGTGTGAAGGCACGGACACAGAAGGGCAAGTGAATGTTGAAAAAAAGTTTAGTGAAAAGAAGTACACCTGATCGACCAGGCGGGCATCTCATGAGAAAACTGAGAGCTCAAACTGCCTAATTTATTGATTTGTAAGTCCCTTCCCTCTACCTTCTCCTCCTCAACTTGTCCACATCCCTGCTCTCATTCATCTTTGCCCAATCCTAGACCACAGCATCCTTCTCTTGAATGCTTGCTTACTTCCCTCCATCCAGGCTAGTTGTTGTGGCTGTTAGAGCAGTTACTGTCAATGGCCAGTTGCTTCATTAGGCTTATCCCTATTCCATCTCCAAATACAGAGGCCTAGTTCTGGAGCTATGTCTACTAAAGAGAAGGAAGCAGATTTGACTGAAGCAGAGGGCAGTGTGCCAGGCCACCTGGAGTTGGAAGATGAAAAACGTGGGCCTCACAGTGGTAAGGACCTACTTTCTTGTCTTTACACTGAGGGAGGAGGGGACCTCCCCTGCTCATGGGTTCAGAGAGATTTCAGATTGCCTCTCTCTCAAACGTCCTTGATGCAAAGGGGAAACTTCTCCCTGCCTCCTCAGAGTTTTTGCTTGTTATGCTACCTCCCTTCTGACTTGTAACTCATTTTTCTTTCTACTAGGCTAGATTCCCTCGTGTCACCAAAACTACTCAACTACAAGAAGGGTCCCCTTTAACTGAAAGCAGTCAGAATAATTAACAATGCAGTTTTCTAAGCCTTGAGACAAATGAGGATTCTATAGTAACAGCTCTGGGGCTGTGGGTGGGGACACTTCCCTCTGGAGGTGAAAGTTGAAGTGACTAAGGGATGGATTCCATGCCTAAGAGCTAAAGTTTCTCCTCTGGTATTTAGGTGAATTCACTTTGCAAAGGGAGGGGAGGTTAGAATAAATTGGAATTTTCCAGTATGAATTTTTTTAAAGATTTGTTTACTTATTTGAAAGAGTTACACACACACACACACACACACACACACGGAGTGGGGGGGGGGGCAGAGAGAGAAAGGTCTTCCATCTGCTGGTTCACTCCCCAAATGGCTGCAGCCTCCAGAGCTGTGCTGATCCAAAGCCAGGAGCCAGGAGCTTCTTCCAGATCTCCCATGTGGGTGCAGGGGCCCAAAGACTTGGGCCATCTCCTACTGCTTTCCAGGCCTATAACAGAGAGCTGGATTGGAAGTGGAACAGCCAAGACTCAAACTGGCGCCTATATGGGATGCCAGTACTGCAGGCGGCAGCTTTACCCACTACACCACAGCACCAGCCCTTCCAGTATCAATTGATACTATTTTTCACCTCCTGTGTAAGCCATCTGATATTGTACTGCACAAATTTAAGGATCTTTCTGACAAACAAGCCATGTATATGGAGGCATTTAGCATACACTTTGGGTTATTTTTCCTTCTATAGGAAAGTAGCATAACCTTTTGCACAATGCATACCCCCGTTCTCCTGTTTCTTTGCCTCCTAAAACATGCAATAATAAGTGTAGGTGTATCTTCAAAGCACTTTGACCTCTAACATTAAATGCACACATTTTATTTTCATTAAACTCACTATGATTTTGAACCTGGATGTTTAAAAATAATGCTTTTTAAATGCTTTGGGAGAAAATAAATTCAGATTCTTAGCACATTTTAGCAATTCATGACTTTTAGAGAATGCTGAAGTAGAAAAAATATTCAATAATTTCAATTCTTTCCTTCTTTGTTCTCATTAATTTAAAGGGGCCAGTACTGCAAATTTTTATTCCAAATTTGGTGAATGCTACTGTCTCTCCTCTAACTTACTGATAGTTTAACAAAATTTTGGTTACATTTAGAATCAGTGCCTATTAGGGTCAGTGTTAGTGAACCTAAATCCTTTGGGGGTAGAAAGAGAGATAACAGGATCTGCTGACAAGGAAAGGCTCCTCTGCCACTAGCTTTCTTAGGGTTCTTCTTCCACTAACATTTTAAGTTCAGTGGGTGCTCCAGCCTCTTCCTTTCCTTACCCTACCCACTTTGGTTTGAGATTTCACTTTAGCTTTTTTCCCCCTATGTACAGATGATGACACCCATAAGCCTGAAGACAAGCCATTACTGAGGTAAGTTATGAAATCTTTTGTTCACATTAACAATTGCCCTCTTTGTGGTGACATCTATATCCAATCAAAATGAACTAGATTATGGACTATCTTGTTATGTACTTTGATGAACACTACATAATATATACCCGTCTATGGGACATTCTGGAGCAGTAGCTATAAATTTATCACACTGACTTTTCCAACAGAAAGGAACCTTTAGTCACATCCACTGATTGAAATTGATCATTTGCTCTGTCTCAAAAAAAGAGTGCCACTGGAAAATAAATCCCTGAAAAGGTATCTTTGGGATCTTGATTTCTCAGGTTTTTCTGCAGTCCTTGCCATGGAGGGATGATGAGTGCCAAATTCCATTGTATGCTCAGCTCTCAGCTTGGGATCCTCCTGAGTCTAAATGGACCACTGTTGCTAATAATTCTGAAAAATGATGTATCCTGCCTTAGAGAGCTGATAGACTGAATTCCCAGAGGAACTCTGGGAGAAAACAATAGTTAAGATTTATATTTCCTACAGAGCTTATTTATGTAATAATGAGAGCAGAAAGTAATAAATATTCTAAGTGCCACCATTGTCTCGCAGAAGTGCAGCTTAAATTTCCCAGAAAAGTGTGTGTTTTCTACTGTGGGTGGTTCAGCAGCAGCATTTTAACATAGTTTAAGCAACTTGTTACCACTGATAAGCCTGTTATTCCAAATGATGGAAATCAAAATTATGTTAGTAGGTGTAGCTTGAACTAAAAGCAAGAACAAAGAACAAACTGGGTGGAAATCCCAAACTGAAGCTTTTGTTTAAAACGTTGTCATTAACCAAAACAAGTGGTTAAAAAGAAAGCACCTGTTATTACTGATAAACCTGTTCTTATTTCAAATGGTAGAAATCAAAATTATGTTAGTAGGTGTAGCTTGAACTAAAAGGAGGAATAAACTGGGTGAAAATACCAAACTGAATCTTTTGTTTTTTAAAAAAATTGCTATCATTAGCCAAAACAAAGTAGTAAAAAAGAAATCAAAAGGGAAGAAAAAACCTGCATTTGAGTTCCTAGGTCCTGCCTTCAGCCCTGCCAGGAGGCCATTATGGACATTAAGGGGTGAATCAGTGGACTGGAGACCTGTGTGTGTGTGTGTGTCTGTCTGTCTGTCTGTCTGTCTGTCCTGTCTCTCTGCCTCTCAAATAAATAAATAATATTTTTAAGTCAAGGGGTGATGGTTGGCACAGTGGTTAAGCCAATGCATGGGACTCCCATATCCCATATGGGAGAGCCTGATTCGTATCCCAGCTCCTCTGCCTTTTCTTTTCCTTTTTAATTTTCAATTTACTTTATAATCATAAGCCTAACCCTCCACTAAATAAAGAATTCAACAAGTAGGCAGAAAAAACCACTTTGCCTTAAGAGGTTAGACAAGGGCTATAAACAATAATCAAATCTCAAAATGTCAATTTTGCTCATTTACATTACATTTTTGATTCAGCTTCTTGATAATATGTACTTTGGTGGGCTCAAGTACTTGAGTCCCTAGCACGCACATGGAATACCTACATAAAATTCAATCTTAACTGTTTATTCACTTGGCTATATTCCCTGGGTTGCACTTTACAAGATAGATTACCACTCCAGTTTCTGTTTCATACTGCAGTTGGGCATTGGAACAAAAAGCTCTTCCAGAATGTTTATTATTATGTCATTTTTTCTAGCCATGAAGAATCATTTCTTCACCAGGAAGATGTTCTTCAAGAGACTAGGGTCAACAATCCTGAGGATAAAGACTTGCAGAATTTAAGTGGGATGAAGGGAATGAAAATGAAATGTGAGAAACTGAAGAGCATGGGAAATAACAAAGGGACCATGTACAGCTTGTTCTTCTCTTCCATTAATCTATGTATATTTTAACTTTATTTTTAATTGATACATAGTAATTATACAAATGTATAGGGTAAAAATGTAATGTTTTGTTATACTGTATTGATTACATAGCTTTACTGAGGTATGGTTGACATAGATGATGATTAGATACATACAATAATGATTAGATACACATTATGAAATGCTTACCATAATGAGTTAACACATATATTGTCTCTCATGGCTATCATATTTTCATAGTGAGAACACTTAAGATCTACTCTCTTAGCAACTTCCAAGCACACCAGAGAGTATTATCATTAACTGTAGTCGTTATGGTGTACATTACATCCCTAGAACTTATTCATCTTACAACTGAAAGTTTGCACCCTTTGACCAACATATCCTTCTCCTCACCCCACTCTCCAGCCCCTGGTAACCAACCTTCTACACTGGTTTTGCGAGTTTGACTTTTTAGATCCACTTATACATGATGAGATCGTACATATTTGGTCTTTCTGTGTCTGGATTATTTTACTAACCATTATGTCTTCTGAATTCATCTATGTATTAACAAATGGCACTACTCCATTGTATATATACATACCACATTTTTTATCCATCCATCATTGGACATTTAGGTTATTTCTTGACTCTTGTGAATAATCCTGCAGTGGACATAGAGGTGTAGATATCTCATGGAGATGTTAATATCATTACTTTTGGATATATGAAGGGGCTTCAAAAAGTTGATAGAGGGTGGGCATTTGGCATAGTGGTTAAGACACCTTGTCCCTTATTGCAGTGTCCAGGTTCCATACCCACCTCTGGTCCTTGACTACAGCTTCCTGCTAATGCAGATCTTGGAAGACAGGGAAGATGGCTCAAGTAATTGTTATTACATCCATATGGGAGACCTGTATTGAGTTTCTGGCTCTTGGCTCTAGCCCCCAGCCTTGGGCCAGGCTGTTACAGATATTTTTGAAGGGATGAACCAACAGAAGGGAGTGCTCGCTTACTCTTTCTCATTCATTCTTTCTCGCTCTGTAAAAAAAATTAAAATTGTTTAATTTTTTATATTCATACAGAAATGTAATTACAAGATAGTGTGAATTTTCCATGAACTTCTTGAAGCCCCTTTGTATACCCAGAAGTGGGGTTACTGGATCCTATGAGAGTTCTCTTAAAGTTTTTGAGGCAACTCCATAATTGTTTTTCCATAATTGTTTTATCAATTTACATTTGATCCAACAGTGTAAAAAGATCCCCTTTTCTCTACATGCTCACTAATACTTCTTATCTTTTGATTTTTTAATTATAGCCAACCTAACAGGTGTGAGATGGCATGTCATTGTCGTTTTGCTTTGCATTTCTTTTTTTTTTTTTAAAGATATATTCATTTATTTGAAAGGCAGAGTTACAGAGAGGCAGAGGGAGAGACAACGAAAGAGAGAGAAAGGGGTCCTCAATCCACTGGTTCCAAAGGGTCAGGGAGGTAGAGTTACAGACAGAGAGAGGCAGAGACAGAGAGAAAAGTCATCCATCAGCTGGTTCACTCCCCAAATGGCCGCAACAACCAGAGCTGGGCCGACCCAAAGCCAGGAGCCTGGAGCTTCTTTCAGGTCTCCCACATGACTTCAGGGGCCCAAGGACTTGGTCCATCTTCCACTGCTTTCCCAGGCCATAACAGAGAGCTGGATTGGAAGTGGAGCAGCCAGGATGTGAACCTGTGCCCATACGGGATGCCGGCACTGCAGGCGACGGCTTTACCTGCTATGCCACAAAGCCGGTCCCTGTATTTCTTTTATGGTTAGTGATGTTGAACATCTTTGCATGCCTTTTTGCCATTTGTATATATTTTCCTTGAAAAAACTGTTCAGGTCCTTGGCCCATTTTTAATAAGGCTATTTGAGTTTTTGCTGTTGAGTTGCAATTCCTTATATAACTTAGGTATTAATCACCTATTGCATATATGATTTGCAAATATTTTCTCCCATTCCAGAGGTTACCTATTCATTTGTTGGCTATTTCCTTTATTGTGCAAAAAATTTTTAATTTGATGTAGTACCATGTACTTATTTTTGCTTTTCTCACCTGTGCTCTTGGTGTCGTATCTGCAAAGTCATTTTCATCTTTAATCAGTTTTTTTTTAGAAAAAAAGATTTATTTATATTTTTTGAAAGACAGAGTTATAGAGAGAGAAAAAGAGATCTTCCATCCACTGGTTCATTCCCCACAATGGCTGCAATGGCCAGGAGCCTGGAACTCCCTCAGTCTTCCATGTGGGTGGAAGAGACCCAAGCACTTGGACCACCTTCCACTGCTTCCCTATGCACATTAGGAGGTATCAGGATCAGAATTTGAGCAGCTGGCACTTGAACTGGTGGTCATATGGGATGCCGGCATCGCAGGCAGCGCAGGCAGCAGCTTAACCCACTGTGCCGTAATGCAGGCCCCTAGGTTCTTAGTGGCTGCTGTAGGTTGGAGTTCAGCAGACCTGATTTTAGTAGCAGGGGTAGACATGTTTTCTATCATATTCTTGTGCAGGCAAGACAGCTCTAGGCTACAACAGGGAGGAACTGGAGTCAGGTGACAGGCCCCTTTAGGGCCCACATCTGGAAGTGAGGTCTGCAGGCCAGCTACCAAAGGCTTAGATGGACATGATTCCTCCTGTGTCTCTTGGCAGACGTAGCTGCTGACAGGCCTGGGTCCAAATGTGATGGTAACTGAATTCATTAGGCACAGGGTGGTAGCCAGGACCATTTTCAGCAAGCCTGCCACCTGGACATAGGCTTGTGTGCTCACAACTTCCTCTCCTTAGTCTTGGGCTCCACGGGGTTTTACAATCTCCTACCTCAATCCCAAATCTCCCAGAAAGGCACTTTTGTCTGTGGATGGTTGTTAAATTATTGCTGCTATTGAGGCATACAAGAGAGGTGCTTTCTATTCTACCTTCTTGTTCTCACACAGCTTAACACATCAAAATATGCTAAGCATGCTTACTACTTATGAAACTCACTAACTTACTAAACTCATAACTAAAATTATGCAAAGGATAGGGCTTGGAAGAATAACGTTTCAGAACAGCATCACAGAACATCACTAAAACCCCTGTTACATCAAATTAGCCAACACTAAACCTTTAGCCCCAAGGGAAATACAGGGCTAGGTTCTTAGTATGGTCACTTTTTTGTCAACCAATCAACACATTACATTGTTTTGTATGTGTTTCAGTCTAAATCTACCTTGTTTAAATATATTGTTGCTTCACTATCACTGACCATATGACCAAAAGCCCTCTAACTCAGGCCTCAGAAAAGCTTATCTAATCCATATAGTTTCTCCATAATGGACCTCACAGCTTTCCTGTGCTTAGACACTCTAGACAGCACAGGCACACTATGTTTGGGAGCCATTTTAAATGGTAAAAATCACTGACTGAAATGTGGAAAATGTTACATTGAAAGACAGTGCAAGTCTCTGGCCTCAGAATCAGCCCTAAAGGCACTCGGATCTGGCTGAAAAGCCCATGAGAGTATTTCAGGCATGGAAAGCCAAGACACTCTGGCAAAAAGATCTCTGTGAGTGAGATCCCAGTGGAAAGAACAGGTCTTCAAAGAGGGAGGTGCCTTTCTCTGAAGGGAGGAGAGAACCTCCACTTTGACTATGACCGTGTCTAAACAAGATAAGAGTCGGAGAACTCAAGGGGCTTCCATAGCCTTGGAAACTCATGACTGGTGCATAGGGAGATTACTGATGCCATAAACAGGAGTGTCAATTGGTAAAGTCAACAACAGGAGTCACTGTGCACTTACTCCTCATGTAGGATCTCTGTCCTTAACGTGCTGTACACTGAGGCTTAATGCTATAACGAGTACTCAAACAGTATATTTCACTTTGTGTTTCTATGGGGGTGCAAACGACTGAAATCTTTACTTAATGTACAGTAAACTGATCTTCTGTAAAAAAAAAAAAACAAGAAAGAAATATCATTCCCAACTTGACTCTCACTGGGATTAAACATGACAATAGGTCAGATCTGATTTCATCATCATTTAAAAAAAATCATCTATTATTTTTCACTTTATGTTTCTGTGTGGGAGCAAACTGTTGAAATACTTACTTAAGGTATACTAAGCTGATCTTCTGTATATTAAGATAATCGAAAATGAATCTTGATGTGAATGGAAGGGGAGAGGGAGTGGGAAAGGGGAGGGTTGTGGGTGGGAGGGACGGTATGGGGGGGGAAGCCATTGTAACACATGAGTCATACTTTGGAAATTTATATTCATTAAATAAAAGATAAAAAAAAAAGAAAAAAAAAAGAAAGACAGTGCAAGTAATGCTAGTTTACAGTTTAAGAATTGAAACAAGGAGACAAAATATCAGTTTGTTCAGCCCCAGCTGGGAATGTGTATATCAGGTGAATCATCAAATTTTTCATCACTCTGGGAGTGTCTGCAAATAACTGAGGAGGAATTGCAAGTATTGATTTGGGGATTACAATTATATAGGGTCAACTGTGTAAATAACAATTTCTCAAGTAGCTTCAGTATACGTACCCTGAAATGATAGCACTAAAGAGTTTGACTGGATGACACTTTGATGGATATAATATTTTTTGAGAGTTTGAAAGAAAGGAAATAATATCAGCAGTAAGTAATAGAAGGGAATGAAAGGTTATAGTCATCAAATAAAACTACTAAAATATTCTAAAACCAACTACTGAATCCCCCCAGGTTATCTGGTATTGTTAAATTGTGGAACCTGCCATCATTAGAACATTGTATTCACCTTTCTCTCTGTCTCTCTCTCTCTAACTCTGCCTGTCAAAAAACAAAAATAAAGCGTATCTTCAAAAAAGACCTAAATCTTCCTTCTTTGATTACCAGAAGTTCAATATAGTACCCTGTTTCCATTTTGACTTTCCCATATGTTAATCACTTTATAGGTACCCATCAAGAAAGAAGATGGATCGCGCAACAGCTCTCCAGGAGGCGAGGAGTCGGAGGCTTTGAGCTGGTCATAATGGCAGGTGAAGAAATTAATGAAGACTATCCAGTAGAAATTCATGAGTATTTGTCTGCATTTGAGAACTCCATCAGCACTGTGGATGAGATGCTGAAGACCATGATGTCTGTTTCCAGAAATGAGTTGTTACAAAAGTTAGACCCACTTGAACAAGCAAAAGTGGATTTAGTTTCTGCGTACACATTAAATTCAATGTTTTGGGTTTATTTGGCAACTCAAGGAGTTAATCCTAAGGAACATCCCGTAAAACAGGAATTGGAAAGAATCAGAGTGTACATGAACAGAGTCAAGGAAATAGCAGACAAGAAAAAGGCTGGCAAACTGGACAGGGGTGCAGCTTCGAGATTTGTAAAAAAATGCTCTCTGGGAACTGAAACCTAAGAATGCATCCAAAGTTGCCAGTAAAGGAAAAAAACAAACATTAACTTTTTGGTTTTGGTATACACATATTCAAAATGTACATCATTTTTATTGTCATAACAAAATTTCTAATTATGTGGCAATGCAAGGCTTAAATGTATTCCTTGTTGAATTTATATGTAAATGTGTACTTCAGATTTGTAATGCAAAAATACTTTTCTGCCAGAAAGATTCTTTATTGATTTTTCCTATAGAGCACTCTGAGGTTTTAATGTTGTGATCTATTTTATATTTATAGTTTACCATCTCTTTTGATGACACTTATTTCCTTATGTAGGTCAGTCTTGCAAGTACCATTTTATAAACAACTGAAATTTAAGTTAAATGTTCTTTGTAAACATTTACACTATTTTAAATGAATAATGACCTTATGAAGTATGTTATCTCTGGGCTGAATTTAAAAGTACATCTATTTTTACAATATGATATTAAGAAAGAATGAAATGA